CCTACCTACCTACCTACCTACCTACCTACCTACCTACCTACCTATCTATCTATCTATCTATCTATCATCATCTATCTTATCTATTTTATTGCTTTTAATGTTGTAAGCCACCCAGAGTTGCCTTGTGGATAGGAAATAAACAAATAAATAAAATAATCAAATTAATCAAATTCCTGGATGTTTCAATTCTAGTTCCATCCCTTTCTGGAGAAGAATGGATTTTGGAATCTTTCTGAGATGAAACTGTACTTTGACCAAAATGGAGATGTAGCTGCAGATCTGGGCATTGAAAGCTGGATGTTGCTCCCCAAGGAGGGCTTCAGGAGAGTGATTTTGGGGAGTTTTAAAAGACAGAGACTTATTATGAAGCAAGATGTTATTCCATGGTTAAAGTTGTTCAACAAGGTGCTTGGAATTTTGGTGTCTTGTCTTTTCTGTGTTTTCCAAAGCCTTAGGATTGATTTCAACTGGGATAAGCCTAGTTGTGAAGTTGTTGACCTTCACTGAAAATTGAAAGTGGGGAATAAGAAGACTTATGTTCTTATAGTGTTTGGGAGGCCTCAGTTCACTGATGAGTTCCTACTGGTTTGGATCGGTTTGGCCGAACCAGTAGTGGTATGGCGGCCTGGGTCACTGGAACTGGCAGCAACCCAGGCCTACCACGCCCCCGAACCAGTTCCCTCATTGCCACCATCGCCGGCGCCATTTCATATTTTAGTTCTGTGCATTTGCAGAACAATTTTAATTGAACTGCACATGCGTGTATGAAGCACACGCACAGGTGAAGCGCAAGTGTGAGTGAACTGGCAGTAAAGTCGGGCAGAACCCACCCCTGCCTCAGTACTATTCCATTTCGTGTTCCATCTACAATTTAGCATCTCTATCAACCTAGTGGGAAACCTGAAAATGCTGGGGAATGTGTTGCTAATATCTTTGGGTTTCTTTGTTCTATGTACAGAAATAACACATACACACACAATTCTTTTGACCAGGGCCTGAATTCAGAGGAAAGGGCATTGTGAGTGGGTTGAGGCCCCTTTTGATCTTATTTGGAAACAACCTTCATCTTGTCCTTCTTGGGGAAAGCATGCCCTCAATGGGATGGTTCACGCTCTATGAAATACAGTTGTGGGAGATGAAAATATTGGCTATTGATCTATTAGAATCAATAAGGTCAACGTGAATGATAGCAGGCCCCAAGAAAGAAATATGAACACAAGTCTCCAGTTAGGATGTTTTCAGAATGTAAAATAACTATTTGTAATTTGCTGCGCAGTTGCAATTTGTATAATATGGTATTGCAGAGTGGATAGTTTCATGCATATAGCAATAGCAATAGCAATAGCAGTAGACTTATATAGCGCTTCATAGGCCTTTCAGGCCTCTCTAAGCGGTTTACAGAGAGTCAGCATATTGCC